ATAAATTTTTTTTTCATTTATTTATATTTATTTTTTAAATATAAATGAAAAATTTATCTTTATTTTTTAAGTATAAATGATTCATTTATATTTATTTTCCAAAGTAACACTAAATTAACACCCCTACAGATCACCCAGGAGATTAGTCAGATTATTTGTAGCCGTTTTTATTGACGCAATAAGAAAAAGAATTTTTTCACGAAAGTGAACAAACCATTTTCAACACCACAAGAGCTGTGAAAAACCATCTGAGTTTCTAAAAATGCTCCAAAACTCGCATTTTTTTTCTTCTTCTGTTTTTTAATTGAAGATTTATTAGAATTACTCTAATGTAGCAGTTACAGCAAAATGATCACTTGGATATTTATTTTTCTCATTATACTTGTTTATTGTTGCATCGATTACATTAAATAAGACTTTAGCATAAATCCAAATAAAATCAATTTTACATGATGATGGATGACCGGTAAAATCATGAAATGTTGCTGTTTTAACATCATCTGGATGACGAACAAAATAAGTATCAAGAAATCCATTTGTTTCCATTATTTTTATTTCTGGTGCATCCATAGTTTCATTATTAAAATCACCCATGACAATCACTCGACAACTGCGAGCATATTTATCAATATGATCGATAACTAAAGGCATTGATTTTGATCGAGCAAGAAATGATGGCCAATCAAGATGAACATTGTAAACAAGTATTGATTCTGGTTTTGTAGCCTTGTCATCTTTAACTCTCAATTTTACCCATGTACATATTCTTGGCAATGTACTATCCCATGATTTTGACGGTTGATTTGGCGTATCACTCAACCAAAATGTGCCATTTTCAACAGATTCATATTTAGTCTTATCATAGAATATAGCACAATGTTCGCCCTTCTCTTGCCCATCATCTCTTCCAACACCCACAAATGACCATTTCTCATTGCCTCCGAGTGCCGTAAGAATTTCTTGTAACTGAAAATATTCACCTTCTTGAGTACCCATAATTGTCGGTTGTATTTCATTTAGACTATTGAAAAATATTTCACGTCGGTGCTTCCATGAATTCGCTCCATCGGAAGCAGAACCATAACGGATATTATAGGTGACAATCTGATGTTTCATCGTGCGTTGAGAAACGTGAGTATAGAAAGAGAATAACAATGAAAGTTTGATTCGACGATAAGGAAAAGGCTTTATAATAACCTACTGAATAAATAACAAATAATGGTGACGAATATAAAATCGTTTTTTCCGTTCTTCACATGAAATAGGTGTAGTTGTGGATGGATGTAGTCAACAAATATAAAATTCAAAAAATGAATTGTGCACGTGTTGTGTGGCTGTGCACGCACATAAATATTGAACTCTGCAGCTGTTGTAACACAACATGACGCCTGATTCTTCTGAGTGCTCATTAGCCCTCTCCTCAAATCATAATTCTTACCGATTATTCACTGGATGACTTCGTCTCCCGCTGGCTCCTCATTCTTAGCTACTCTCCACTCATTATTCATTATCCTCTGCTTAGTTTGTCAATTATCTTGAAACATGATTATATTTCTTTTTTTAACATCCTTTTTTTAGCTAAAAAATCAAGTCTTTCACGTTTTCTAATCTGACTACACTGATGCACAATACCTTGTAATATACGAATTTTTTCTCTCGACTTTAGTTTAGGGTGTTACAAAATGGTTGTCTGTCTATGTGTCTGTCCATGCATAAAATACGGAAAAATGGCTGTTAGATATTCCATGGATAAGCCAGTCACAACCACAAGAGAGAAAAATAGAAATTTATTTTTTACATGCGAGCCAAATATCGAAAGAAATGACTGAAATAAGATTTAGAGTCAGTGTGCCTAACCAGAGCGGATTTTGTTTTCGTTGACTTATTTCGATTACTTTATAATGAGTTTCGAAGAATGTTCTATACTTTTCTACATATCTGAGTAGAGAAAAGTCTGCTGAATCGAATGGTGAAAGAATTAATTAATTTGCACCAAAATCGATCAAATTATGACCGGTAGAATGAGTTTAGGTTGTTTCGTTCTTAATAAATGTACGTTTCCTAATAAGAACGACAAGCAAAATATATGCTACTAACAAGAATGGCCCATATAAATACATCAGAGATGGGCGAGTACGAGTATATACTCGTACTCGAGACTCGTTTTAACGCGTATTCCAAAAAATACTTGAATACTTCCCAAAAAACTGATGATCTTTTCTTTCACTATTTAGGTATCAAAAAATCGATTTTTTGGGGAAATTTGTGCGGATACACCGGCTTCTTCAGAAAAAAAAATACTCGAGTACTTTACTTGCAAATCCTACTTTAGTGTGAACTACTAGACCTTTGATTCACGCATGGTTAGATCGGCCATCAAACGAGCTTTAAAAGTATGAAGAGCTTTTTTTTAAATTCTGTTTCATTGCTGAGAAAGCTCATTTTTTCGAAGTCAAAGGCGAAAAAATCGGCGTTCCGCCAGAAATTCTTAACTTTCGCGATCAAAAACTCAACTTTTGAGCAATAAAAATATCATATTCAGAAACAGGATCAAAAACTGAGTCGACTGATATGTATTTCTATCCTATCCGACTACTTTAATTTTTTTTTCGAATTTTCACGTTGAAAAATTACCACTCAAAACTGAAAATCAATCAGAAGTTTCGAAATAGACATCAGTCGACTCAGTTTTTGATTAATTTTTATTGCTCAAAAGTCGAGTTTAATGAGAAAAAAGGCCATCAGTTTTTTGGGAAGTACTCAAGTAGTTTTTGGAATACTCATTAAAAAGAGTCCCGAGTACGAGTGTGAGTACGAGTACTAGGAATTTTGTACTCGAGTACATACTTGTACTCGCCCATTTCTGATGTATTTATATGGGCCATTCTTCAGCATATATTTTGCTTGTCGTTCTTATTAGGAAACGTACATTTATTAAGAAGGAAACAACCTAAACCCATTCTACCGGTCATAACTTGGTCGATTTTGGTGCAAATTAATTAATTCTTTCACCATTCGATTCAGCAGACTTTTCTCTACTCAGATATGTAGAAAAGTATAGAACATTCTTCGAAACTCATTATAAAGTAATCGGAATAAGTCAACGAAAACAAAATCCGTGCTTGTTAGGCATCCTGACCCTACTGATACAGAAAGAAAAAGAGCTAAGAAAACTTTTTCTGTAGTTGAGAGATCGTTGTCGCCAGAAAGCAGTCAATTTCGATAACAGTAAAAAGGCCATCCACCGAATAATAAAAGTTACAGAATATAGATAACCTAACCTGGCGCATCCATCAGAAATATCCTTCGGATCTTCAGAAGATGTCCAGAAAAATTTTTAGTTTTATATTACATTGTGCGGCATATCAACTTGTAGGGGATGTTTTCCCGAGGTATTGCCAACCTGGGAATAGGGGGCTTTTGTAGCCTGTGGTCGACTAAGTGTATCGGCACTAGTTTGGCACCTACGTATGACCAACACTCCAGCAAAAAAAATATAAATAAAACTTGCAGTGAGATAGAGGAGAAAAATATAAAAATTATGCTCTCTAACGAGTTCGAACTCCGGCACTCGCTTATCGTAAGCGTAGTATTTACTTCATTTTGCCGTCAGCGTATATCAACAGACAAGTATATTTATCACTTATTCTGTTCTTTTCTTCACTACAGCAGAAACTGGACATGTGTATTTCTTAAATCAGTATAATGTAATTCCTTTTAGACCAAACTGTAATCTGTTTTACTCGGCATTTGTCTTCGAGAACGGATTACAGGAGTTTAACAAGACAAGTGAGAGAAGGTGTCTTACGAGGAAACCACTCCAACTGTCCGATCGCTTTTTCACGAAATCTAGTGGACAATAGATAATCGAGTGTGCTGAATTCGAATGTCATAGTGATTTGGAAGTCTAGGCCTCTAGACACCGGTTTCTGGAAAACTAGTTTTTCAGAAACTCTAAAAGATAACCAAAATCTTTCTTAATGATGCAAAATTATAGCCCGCATATTTCTGATTAAAATGAGACATCTTCTACACAGCCTTTCTTTGCAAAGTTAGAGAATTTATAAGAAAAGCCCTAAATATTCATTGTCAGCCCAAAGCTTCAGAAATAAGAAGAAATTAATTTAGGGCTTTTCTTATAAATTCTCTAACTTTGCAAAGAAAGGTTGTGTAGAGCTGGAAGATGTCTCATTTTAATCAGAAATTTACGGGCTACAATCATGCATCATTAAGAAAGGTTTTGGTTATCTTTTTGAGGTTTCTGAAAAACTGTTTTTCCAGAAAACCGGTCTCCTGATGTCTAGACGCCCAAATCACTATGATATTCGGATTCAGCATACTCGATTATCTATTGTCCACTAGGTTTCGTGAAAAAAGCGATCGGACAATTGGAGTGGTTTCCTCGTTAGTCATGATCTCATATTCTCTCTGTTTGCTTCTCCAGTAGTCTAACAAAACATTCATTTAACTATTCAAAGTAAATTAAAAGAAATAGGCTAAAACCTAAACGCGATGATAAAAAGTATAATCACTGTAGAAAATCGCTGAACACACGCCATTTATTTTGGATTGCTAGTGAGTTGTCGGGGGCCATTCATTATTGTCGTTATCATCTGTTCTTATAGTTAGACGAGGAAAAAGTATCATGTACAAGAAGAGAAGAAAGCGAGAAGTACTTAACATAAATAGAGCCTACTTTAGTTCAATCTATTGTTCATAATTCAGCTATTTTTTACCCAAATTAAAACAAGTTTTACCGTTGGATCCACAAGGCTTTTGTCTACTAAAAACTGTGGAGAAGCTCAAGACTTCGTGAATAGAATCCCACAAGGGACTCGATCAAAGTAATCGACGCAGGTTAATACGTGTTAAAAATACCTTTTTCAGAAGAATTACGGTCAAACGGGTAAAATTACCGGACAGTTCGATTGTGTTAGCAGTAAACGAGTTTGAACACTTTACTATTCAGATCGAACGTTACCACGCATTAAAAATCGAACTCGTTAAAACCATCGAATATCGAACATTTAACTCGGTTGTAACGCATTAATTCGTTTATCTATCACGTTACAATTTTAAACTTTTCCTGAATAACTGGTTACCATAGCAAAACGTTCGATTTTCCATCGGGCTGAAAATAAGAAAAAAATACATATTCTGATTCGTAATTTTCCGAGAATTTCGAATATGCTACCCGTTTTCTTAGACAACTCTTAGTTTTGGAGAAGGAAACCAAAAACTGTTTTGCGTGGAAACTAGCGCTTTTTATTCTATTCTCGCATTTTTCTCCGTTCTGGATATATTCTTTTCTTCTCTGATTTCTCTTATTTTCATGTTATCAGAATGAACAGACAGAACGAAAAACAGAATGTTCATGTCTAGTTTATATCGAACACTGATTTGTACAGACAGTTACATTTTAGTGTGAATATTCATTTAGTCTTCAATTCATAAAATCACTCGCTATGAATTTAATACACCATCTATCAACTTGATTGCTCTTCTCTAATATTACCGAATAAAATAAGCCGAACTAAAAGCAACCTTTTCCGATCTGTAGTGAGATACAGACTATTCAACTTAGGCTTTAAGATAGAATATTTTTCAAAAAGGGTACAAACTCTAACTGTTAAACTATTTGTTTTGCAATTTGAGTGTCTGGCTGAACAAAAACAGCATCCTTCTGCATATATCATCTATTGGAGCAAATAAAATGTTGATGATCAATTCATTGTTTGGCTACCATGACTTTCCGACTTCCTCTCCGGGTCACACTAGCAAATCTTCCATTCGAATTCGTTCTATTTTGTATGCTTTTCGAAGTTTTCTAAAAGACGTTCTCTTTTATGTATGAGAAAAGAAACATAACGCTCTAGTAACATCGGTAACTGAAATATTCTTTTTGAACAATTATGTACTTTTCCTAACTGAAACTGAGTCTATACAAATTATGT